GTCGTGGAGGAGTCTCCTTCCCAGTGAGTGAGAGCAGCCACATCCTGCTCTTCCTACTGCCCACGGTGACCTGGCTCAGACACACTCCAGGCTCCAGAGCTCCTCAGCTGCACTCTGAAGGTAGCAGTCTGGAAACAGAGAGCTCCTAACGATGGTTCCCGAGGAACCAGAGCTGGTCTCACTTATTGAATTGTCACTGTGAACCTCCAGTGCCTGACAGTCGCTGCCCTGGACGTGCCCAGAGCTCGGGTGCTGCCTTCAGGGGGTCACACCGTGCCTCTTCCCCTCCCTGCTGGAAGTGCCTGTGTGGAAGAGGAGCACAGAGGTTGTTTTTCTCTGTGGAAACTGTTTCTGGTTACAAAGCCCAGGCTGACAGCTCCGTGTCTGAGAGAGCTGTCAGCCTTTGCACAGCAGCGTCTGGAGTCAGGGCCTCAGGCGCTGTGCTGGGTGACTAAATGCAAACCTCTTTGCTAATTAGAGAAGTCTGTCCTTTCCCATCCCCCCCTAAAACGTTTCACCCGTTTATTGAGCACACTTTGGAGGGTCTTGCCTGCACGGCTGGCCGAGCTCAGCACAAGCAGCTTCCCTGTGCTGCACAGCTCTCCCCAAATGGCACCTGGAGCTTTCCAATTACAGCATCCCCTGGCCCCAGGAGCTCGCTGGAGGATCCTCCAGCTGACATTTGTCCTCAGGCCCCTCAGTCCTGCTGCTGACCGGCTCAGTGGCTCCCAGCTGAGCTAGGGAAGGCAGCAAAACACAGCCAGTGATTGTCAGTACTTGAAGTTTTTTAACCCAGATTTGTCCAGGGAGCTGATGAGTTTTCACCAGGGGTCTTTGTGAGCAGGAGAAGCACATCCATGTGTTATGGACAGGAGTCACGTTTTTTGTCTCCAAAAGGGCCGTTTCCTTTTCTTTATTTTTTTCCTTTTCTTTTCTTTTTTTAACTTACATTTGCCCTGGGCCATTTTTTGATGAGCTTCTGTCTCTGATCTGTCTGACATTGCAAATGCTCTTGCCTTTCACATCCATCTTTGTGCTGTTGCCAATCTGTTGTGTGTAAAGTCAGTGCTTTCATAAGCTGGCTGAGATGAAATCTCTCTAATTATTTTTGTGATTCTTTCCTGTTTTCAATGAGGGAAACCTCGACGGGCTCTGGTAAAAGCCAACTGATCCCTCTGTCATGTGGAAGGTAATGAATTTCTGCAGCTCTCCTGCCCTTCCTTCCCTCGCCTCCCAGGCTCCGGCTGGGGAAGGGAGCAGGTCCCGTCCGGCCGGGAGAGGCGTGTGCAGCCCTGGCTGCAGACACAGCCTCCCTGTTTGGCTCCTGGCAGGGTGGGTGCACGGGTTTTTCCCTGCCTTTTTTGTTTCTTGTGGAGCTGCCTTTTCAGGCGGTTACACCCTGCTATCCCAGGAAGCCGACTGGAATTCAAAGGTTCTGCCAGTCCTTTGGCACTTTCCTGCGCTGCAGGTTACAGAGACAGTGCGGTGTCAGGGCAGGTGCTTTCCCCTCCCAGACCAACCTGGGCACCAGGGCTGGGTTCAGTTGCCTCAAAGCCCCTCTGGGCCACTGCCTCTCCTCCCTGTGTGGAGCTGGCAGCAGCTCCAGCTCCTTCCAGCATCAGATTTCTCTTGCCTCTGTTGTTCAGAGCTCTCAGGGCTTCCCCTCGTCCCACACCACATTCGAACACATCCCATAGGAAGGGGCTGGTGTCCCTCCTGCCAGGGATGAGGGTTGGCTGGGACAGCAGCAAGCAGGACAGAGGTTCTGACACCCTTTGTCTTGTACCAAAATCCCGCTGTTTCAGGAGCCAAGCTCTTCCTGCTTCAGCTGGGCTGCCAAATCCAGGGGTGCGGCCCCCCTCTACCCGGTTCCTATCAGTGTACTGGCGTTAGGTGAATGATTTTATGGCTTTATGACACCTTTGCACTGCAGTTCTGGGGCTGGAGGTGTCACCAGCTTGAATACTGGGATCTTTTGTTCCAGACTGGGGAAACCAGTGTGGACCAGTGCACTTTGTGCTGGGCCAGGGGCTCCGGCGAGAGCAGGAGCCCTCGGGATTTCACAGCCTGGGCTCTCCACACAGGAGTTCAGCTGTGAAGCCCAGCAAGATCATTTGAATAATTTAATACCGGGCTGTGACCAAGCCTGGCGAAAGGGTAAAGGAAACAAAGAGGCCCCCAGCCCCGAGCAACAAAAGCTCCTGGAACGACAAGCCGAGGCATGTCCGTGCTGCCGGAGGCAGAGAGCAGCTCGGGCAAATAGGCCACTTGCATTCCTCACGTCTGCTGCTTTGTTTCCCTGCAGAAGCTCCCGGAGAAATCTGCAGGTCTCAGGGCTTCTCCCTTTATCCTTTTTTTGTTCCTGTGTTGTGCGGAGCTGGTGGTGGAGCAGTGTCCCCGCGGCTCATCCTGCTAAGGAAAGGCAAGGCCGGAGGGCATCGGGAAAGGGAGGTGATGTGGGATGAGGCTGCCTGGTCCCCTCTGGCCACTGTCACCCAGGGAAAGGCTGTCCCTGTTCCAAATAAGATCCTGCTGACTTGGGACGATTACTGTAGCAAGAAACAGCCCAAACCGCCTGCTGATCCCGGAGCTGATTTATTTTGATTCCAGCACCTCTGTCGAGGTCGTATCCTCATTCCCACGAGGCTTTTGGCAGGAGGTGCGGCTGTTGTCCCTCTGTCCGTCTGCCAGGATCCCTTACCCCTGCCCTCCCTGGGCACGAGGCCCCAGAAGCCGGGAGAGGACTCTCCCCACTCCTTTCCCTGGGGCGAAAGGCTCCACCTTAACTTCTTTAGAAGCCGGAGCGTTGGTTTTCTGTCCCTCCAGTTTAAGTTAAATAGAAGGCGGAGGGATGGAGTAGCAGGGAGAGGCTGAGGAAGAGGACAAGAGGCCTCTCTGAGCTCAGATGGGTTCAAGAAGTGACCCATCATGGGAGACAGGGAACATATCACCTCCACAAAGGGAATTGCCTTGAGTGTCGCCTTTGTGTGAGACAAATGCCTGGCTGTGATGTTGAGTGCGGGGAGGGCTTTGCTCAGGGAGAGGGGAAAAGGAGGGATCTTTGTTTGCAGGGTCTGACACCTCCCAGCCGCCCTGCCGGCACAGCCAGCACCTTCTGATGGCTTTGTCAGCTCCTGGCTAATTAGCAGAGATGCTCTTCAGTAAGGTTAGGGAAGAATAATTTTAAAACATCAAAGAGAAGCAGTAAATAATGATAAAAGTCGGCTGTTTCATGGTTGTCATCGGAGGCACAGGCTGCCTGTGTTTACAGGACTGATGTGCCCTGTCTTTGGAGTCCCATCAACCCCCAGGGTACCGAGGAGCTAGCTGTCCTTTTGGCCTGAACCTTGTCCCAGAGTGGTGTCCAGGGACAGTTTTTAGCCGGGGCCAGGTCACAGCGTGTCAGGGAGTGTCTGGGTTGTGCCTATCTCTTGTTTGAGACAGCCTGGCTCTGAGCTGGCACAGAGTGGCAGAACCAGCTGGACCATGGGGGTGCTGGTAGATCCAGGGGGTGTCACAGCTCTGAGCAAACCTGACCAGGGAACACCTCAACCCCAGCTCAAGGTGGCTGTTGCTCCGCACTGCTCCCTGTACAGTTGCCCACTGTCACTTGTTTTTACCTGTCAGGTTCCCAGTATCACTGGGAGCTGGTTAAAGTTTAGCTCAGTGCTCTCCATCGTCTGAGCAGCGACTCACATCTCTTGGAAAATACCCCGCTGATGGCAGCTTGTGCTCGGTGTACCCCAGTACAAGGTTCTCTGATTTGGGAGCCCCAGTACAGCTCTGAACAACCTGCCATCCCTCAGGGTAACCCCCAGAAATGAGCTACCCATCCCCTCTCCTCTGGCAGCGAGCAGGCTACCTCCCCCCCCCCGGGCTGCTGCAGGGTTTTATTTTAAGCAGAGCCTCTCTGGGAGAAGGGTAACGTGAGCTCCTTGAGTGACAAGTGATAGAGCTCGACTTGCTCAGCGTGTCCCCCAGGAATCCCTCTCCTCTGCCATTTGCTAATTGAAAACTGCTAACATTTGGGTCTGGAGCAACTGCCACCCTTAATGGGAAGCTGGCTGGAGTGAGCGTTGGTGGGACTAACACATGCTCACAGCCTGTCATCTGCTCAGCTCCATCTCTGGGGAAAGGGGCAAATACTCCCATATGCTGCTCTGATTTCTGAAAGAGTGACGAGGGGGCTGGAGCCAGACAGATTTGCTTTTATTCTCCCTCCTCCAGGCTCTTGCTCAGTTACAAACCATGGCTGGAGGGAGGCCGTTGGATACAGCCTGGGGCGTGAGCTCCCAGCAGACAAAGCCACAGGAGCGTGTGTCCCCCTCGTGCCTGGGGTGTGGAGGGTTCAGGGCAGCCCCTCCATGTCCTGCTGTGGGTGATGGCTGGGACAGAGCTGCTCTCTGTGGTAGGAGCAGGACTGGGAACTGTATCTCACCTCCAGCCTCGCTCAGGGGCACAACTGTGGCCTCGGGTTGCCTGCAGGAGTGTGGCACCCCTGAGACACCTCTGAGCCAAGGAGGGCACGTAGGGTCAGCGAGGACACCGCAGTGTGTGCCCCCAGAGCCCAGCCCTGGGCCAGGAGAGGCTGCAGTGGGTGAAGGGGCCGTGTGTGATGTGATGTTGCTGCTCCCCAAACTCCTGGGGTGGCTGTTCCCGGTGCGGTGCGTACCAAACCCCCCGAGAGGGCTGTACCCGGTGCGCTGCTCCCCAAGTCCCCAGGCTGGCTGTCCCGAGGCGCTGCACCCCAAACCCCTTGCAGGGGCTGTCCCCGGTGCGATGCTCCCCGAGCCCCGGGACGCCGGGGCCGCTCCATCCCCCCCGTTCGGCGGCGGGGAGGCGGGGTCCGGGCGGGGGGCGGTGGCGATGGCGATGCCGTCCCCCGTCGCGGGGCGGGCTCGGGCCGGTCCCACCGCCCCGTCCGGCCCCCGGGCGGAGCCGGGCGCGGAGCGCGGAGCCGAGCGGGCGCGGGGCGGCGGCGGCGGGCGCGGGGCGGCGGGATGCCGGGCTACGACTACAAGCTGCTGGAGCGGCCGCGGCGCCGGGTGCTGTGCCCGCTCTGCGGGAAGCCCATGCGGGAGCCCGTCCGCGTCTCCACCTGCGGCCACCGCTTCTGCGACACCTGCCTGCAGGAGTTCCTCAGGTGAGACCCTGCGTCACCCCACGGGCGACCCGACCTGCGGTTACTCCGCTCACCCCTTCCCCCGTGGGGTGCCCCGGTCGCGCACCCCCGCACCGGCACCCCGCGGGGCAGCGGGTGCTCCTCGCCACCGCCACCCCCCCGTCCTCTGGGGTGCGGAGTCCGGGGGTGCCCCGGAGAGGGGTGCGGGGTGCCCTGGGCCCTGGGCCGGTGTCAGAGTGCCTGGTGCATGGGTGTACGGATGCCCCGGGCCCGGGAGGGAATGCGGGATATGCCGGGAAGGAGCGCGAAGTGCCTGGGGGTGCGGGAATCCTGGGGAAAGATGCGGGAGTGCTCCGGGCCGGGGAACGGCTTCAGAGTGCCCCGGGAAAAAGATGCGGAATGCCCGGGAAAAGGCACGGAGTGCCCCGGGAAAGGTGCGGGGCGCCCAGGGATGCCTTGGGCCGGGGAAAGGTGCGGGGTGCCCGGTGGTGCCCCGGGGCAGGGAGGGGGTGCGGGGCGCGCCCAGCCCGTGACAGCCGCCCCGCGGGTGCAGCGGCCCGTGGCCCCTTTCGCTGAGGAGGAGGAGGAGGAAGAGGAGGGCCGGGTGAAGCCCGGAGCGGCGAGTTTCGAGATTCGATCTTAACCCCTTCCTGCCCCGGCCCCGCCGGAGGAAGTGGCCGGGGATGTTTTTTGGGGAGCGCTGTACGGCCAGCCCGGTGTCCCCGCGCCCGGGTGAGCGCGACCCGGCCATGTGCGCCGGCCGGGAGCGAGAAACCGGAGCCTCTTCCGACCCCTGCGGTTTGGGACCCCAAACCCGGTATCGGTGCCGGCAGCCGGGACACACGTGCGAGGCCGGTGCTGTCCCGGTTCCCGGCCGCCGCACTCGGCGCGGTCCCGGGGGTCCTGCGGGGCAGGGCGAGGGGGTGCCCGTGCTCTCCGGGCTGTGACAAGCGTCATCTCGGGCCTTTCCCCGCCGGAGCGACCTTCGCCCGGAGACGGTTCCTGGGCACCACCGTCACCGGGGCCGGTTTCTGTGAAACCGGGCGTTCCCCGGGGCACGTGTCAGAGCGCATCTGTCCCCCCCCTTCCCCGCACCCTTCCCGCGGCACCTCCACTCTGCCGGGGGAAATGGCCTCGGGGTCCCCCCCCCCTCCCTCCCGAGCACAACCCGTTTACCCTGGATCAGTTTGGGGATCCCATGGGCTGAGCCATGCAGCCCCACCGCGGTGCTGGGAAGGGGTGCCGGGGGGTGCAGGGGGATGCTGGGGTTCCCCACCCCATCACCTCGCTGTGCCCCAACACGCCGTGAAGGTCAGAGGCAAGGACGGTCCCCCCGGGTGCTGCCTCAGCACATTCCCTGCCCGGCCAAGCGTGAGGAATGGGGAGGCTTTGTCGAGGATTAGGCGCTGGCTTCGGGTCATCGTCCCACTTTCCCCATCAGCCCCAGCACCCCAACACCGTGCACAGGGTGCAGGCACAGCTGACAGCCCTGGAAAGGCAGCAGAGTGATCTCAGCCACGGGGCAATGCCACGGGCTCCCCGGGAAGGGCCGGGTGCCCAGCCCTGTCTCAGGGCTCTTTATCTCAGTGGATCCCAGATGACTCCTACAAAAACACCTGCAACAAACACAGTGGGCACGTGGCAGAGCTGAATGCAGCCGTTCCCCACGTGGATCACACCCCACAGGGCTGTGGTTCCTGGGGTTCACCGTCCCAGCACAGGGATGGTGGCCGCAGGGGACATGACCGTGCTGTGGCTGGGCAGCCCAGGTTGACACGTGCCTGGTGGCACTGCTGGCTGTGTCCCGGCATCTCGCATCCACTTGGCAGCTCTGGTCGAGGCCACGCCAGTGTCTGCCAAGGGTATGCAGTGATTAGATGGGCACAAGGGCTGTCCAGGCAGGACAGCCTTGGCCAGTGTCACTGCAAAGACACCAGAGACACAGGGTCCCTTTGTGTCCTTGCTCCATGTCTCTGTAGGCAGCACCTGTGGTCTCCCACCCCAGTGTCCATCGGGAATGGTGCATGGACACCCTCCCCTACCCCTGGGCACAGTGATGTGTGGACCAGAAGTGATGGTGACTCCTGGCCAGCCTTGTGACAGGCCAGGCTGCCTCTTTGGCTGGGCCCGTCTCCTCCTCATGCTGCTCCTCTGCAGGTCAGGGCTGAGCAGAGCCCTTCCCACCTCAGGGACAGCTCTTGGGAGGACCACTCCATCCTGGGGACCCAGCAGGATGGGGACCCCTCCAGGGAAGCTATCTGTCCCTGTCCTGCCTCACCGTGGTGGCTGCTGGGGCCATTTCCTGTGGAGCAGGAGCCCCAGGGCCACGCATCAGGGCTGCACATCTGGCGCCCAGCTGTTGCCCTCCCCCACCTCCCCTGGGCCCCGGCACCTGGGGCTGGGGACGCCCCCGGCCCCTGCCGGCCCCCTCCTGGCCAGAGCCGGCACCCTCCTTAATCCCAGGGGACGGGATGGGCAAGGGGCTGCCGGGGCTCCAGATGGTGCCACTCTCACAGCGGCTGGCCCAGGCCCCTGGGGACCGCGGCCGCCGTGCCCGGCTGGGGGTGGGGGGGTGTCTGGCGGGGGCATTTCCCAGCTCAGACAGATGGAGCAGGATTAGAGCCATGGCTCTCCCAGGGTGGCGGCTGGATTTGGTACGGGGTGAGCGCTCAGCAGTGCAGGGACAGCGCCGCTGTCCTGGGGTGGGATGGCGGGGAGCCGGTGGGACATCGTGGCTGTGTCACTGGTGATGTGCCACTCCCCAGCTCTGAGTGATCCCGAGCCTTCTGTGTCTTGCAGCGAAGGCGTCTTCAAGTGTCCAGAGGACCAGCTGCCCCTGGACTACGCCAAGGTGAGCCTGGCACACGGATGAGTACCCTGCTCCAAGGGGACATCCCCACCAAGGGGCCGTCCCCAGGCTCTGCACAGCGCCTGGCACAGCCACGCCGGCCTGGCACGGGCGCCCGGGCGGAAGCAAGAGCCCTTTGTGCCGCGGGGCCGGGGAGCGGAAACCCGCTCCCAACAAAGGGAGCTTGTTGGTGTGCCCGGGGGTATCCGGCCCCGGGCAGCGTGCCCAAGGCTCCCAGCCAGGCTGTGCTGGGGGCTGTGTGTCCCCAGAGCCCGGTACAGGATGCTGATACCCCACTGCTGCCCCTCCAGATCTACCCTGATCCCGAGCTGGAGGCGCAGGTGCTGAGCCTGGCCATCCGCTGCATCCACAGCGAGGAGGGCTGCCGCTGGAGCGGGCTCATCAAGCACCTCCAGGTATGATCTGAGAGGATGGGGGCGGGGGGAGGAAAATTGTACCCTGTGGCCTTGCATCACCATCCTTGTGTTCCCCAGGCCCATCTCGGCACCTGTGGCTTCAACGTGATCCCCTGCCCCAACCGGTGCAGCGCCAAACTGAGCCGCCGTGACCTCCCCGAGCACGTCCAGCACGGCTGCCCCAAGCGCAGGGTCAAGTGCGAGTTCTGTGCCAGTGACTTCACTGGGGAGGCCTTCGAGGTGGGCACTGGTGGGGGGACGCAGCTGGCCAGGGTGCCACGGGGTGTAGCTGGGATGTGTGGGCACCCCACACTGTAGAGCACCATGGGGACACGGCCTGGGTATGGGGACAGGGCCTGGATGGGGGCACTGGGAGATACACCATGGCAGGGACAGCCTTGGGTAGATGTGGACATGTGGGCTCTGGGTCACTGTGCCCTCTGGCTGTGTGGGCACCGTGTGTCCCCATCCCTGTCAGGGCTGGCTGGTGAGGGCAGCCAGAGGGTGATGACACTGTTGTGGTCCCCAGGGCCACCAGGGCACGTGTCCCCAGGAGAGTGTGTACTGTGAGAACAAGTGTGGGGCCCGCATGATGCGGCGCCTGCTGTCCCAGCACGCCCTGTCCGAGTGCCCCAAGCGCACCCAGCCCTGCACCTACTGCTCCAAGGAGTTCGTCTTTGACACCATCCAGGTGAGATGGAGCCCATGAGAACTCTCACCCTGCCAGCTCCCAGCCCCGGCTGACAGCCTTCTCTCCCTCCCCAGAACCACCAGTACCAGTGTCCCCGGTACCCTGTGCCATGCCCCAACCAGTGTGGGACACCCAGCATCGCCCGGGAGGATGTGCCCACCCACCTCAAGGAGAGCTGCAGCACTGCCATGCTGCTGTGCCCCTTCAAGGAAGCTGGCTGCAAGCACCGGGTGAGTGTTGTCCTTGTGACCAGCCTGCCCTGGCATCCATGGGCATGGGATGCTGTCCCTACCATGTCACACCTGTGCCCCACAACACCCCCACACCGCTCCTGCCCTGACGTCATCCTGCTCCAGTACCCCCATGCTCCAGTGACATCTCCACGTTATCCCCACGGTGCCTTCTCTCCTGTCCCCATGCTGTCCCTGGAACCCTCCTGCTGATGTTCCTGTTGTCCCCACAGTGCCCCAAGCTGGCCATGGGCCGGCACCTGGAGGAGAGCACCAAGACCCACCTGGGCATGGTGTGTGCCCTGGTGAGCCGGCAGCGGCAGGAGATCCTGGAGCTGCGTCGGGACGTGGAGGAGCTGTCGGTGAGCAGCGACGGGATCCTCATCTGGAAAATCGCCGACTATGCCCGCAAGCTGCAGGAGGCCAAAGCCCGCAGCAACTACGAGTTCTTCAGCCCCCCGTTCTACACCCACAAGTACGGCTACAAGCTCCAGGTGTCGGCTTTCCTCAATGGCAATGGCAGCGGGGAGAGCAGCCACCTCTCCGTCTACATCCGCGTGCTGCCGGGCGAGTACGACAACCTGCTGGAGTGGCCCTTCTCCTACCGTGTCACCTTCTCCTTGCTGGACCAGAGTGACCCCTCGCTCTCCAAGCCCCAGCACATCACCGAGACCTTCCACCCCGACCCCAACTGGAAAAACTTCCAGAAGCCGGGAGCCTCGCGCAGCTCCCTGGATGAGAGCACCCTGGGTTTCGGCTACCCCAAGTTCATCTCCCACGAGGACATCAGGAAACGGAACTACGTGCGGGACAACGCCATCTTCATAAAAGCCTCGGTGGAGATCCCCCAGAAGATCCTGGCCTGAGCCCCGGAGGGGGCCGGGATGTGACCGGGGCACCCGCACAGAGGTGCCCCAGGTGGTGCTGAGCCCCTGCAGCCGCTGTCCCTGCCTTGGGGACGCTGCCGGGGCACCGTGGTGGCTCTCAGGACAGGCAGGGATGGGGCTGCTCCCACACCCCTCCTGGGGCTGGCACTGTCCGGCAGCCCCAGCTGCCCCCTGGGGCAGCCCCTTCTCAGGTGCCCGGGGGTGCCGGGGGGCTGGGCCCCCTAAGCCCCTCCCCGAGGTGCCCAGCAGCCCCCGCCAGCCTCGCTGGGGACCCTGCAGGACCCCACTGCCCAGAGCCATACTTTGTAAACTGGTGCTCCCCAGGTTGTTATTTATTACCCCGGGCTGGGGCTGCTGCCCCCTCCCCACATCTTTTTCTTTTCAATAAACTTTTCTTGTATTTATTACGGCCGCCTGAACCTCCTTCCTCAGCCTGAACCTCCTTCCTCTGGGACCAGGGGATGCTCCTGGGTGCGGCTGTGGGTACTGGGGACAGAGCCGGGACTGGGCTGGGGGGCACGGAGAGGGGTAATCCCTGACCCACATCCCGGCAGCAGACGGGCTCAGATGGAGCCGGTTAATTCGGTAATCACCGGCAGCAGTGGGATGTGCCGGGCTGGGGGGGTCGCCAACCCCGAGGGGCTGTTTCCCCGCAGGCCCCCCCCTCTGTTCCATCAGTCCTCATTAGCGCTGGGCTAATTAACGCCCTGAGGGAGGGCGGCATCCAGAGCAAACGGGGGGTGGGCGATGGTGGGGGGCACTAGGGCAGACTGAGAGGGGGGTCGGGCTGGATCAGGCCCCCGGTCCGTTTGTCTGACCCCCCCCGGTCACCCCGGCAGCAATGGGGGGGGCGCGGTCATTGTCTCTGCAGGATAATCCCACAATTGCATTAGTGCTGCTCCGGTTTAATGTAATTAGCCCCTAATTAGCTGCACCCTGCGGCCCTGGCTGGGCTGGGGGAGCAGCACTGCCGGGGGTGTCCCCATACCCCGTCTTCCCCCCCAGCAATGTCCCCCTGAGCAGGTCCCAGCCCGGTGTGGCAACCCCTGGGGCCCTGGGCAATGTCCCTGTCCTTGCTGGTACCCAGTACCAGCCTGTACCAGTGCCCAGTTCCTGCCCAAACTGGTGCCCAGGATGGGCCCACAGCACTGCCCAGTGCCAGCTTGTACTGGTGCCCAGTGCCATTCCTGCAGTGGAGTGAAACGCTGGTCCATACTGGTGCTCCGTGCCAGCCCATACTGGGCCACCAAACTGGTATCTGACACCAGCCCGCTGTGGTGCCCAGTGCCAGCCTGTACTGGTGTCCACACTGGCACCCAGTGTCACCCCACCCTGGTGCCAAGTGCCAGCCCCATTCTGATTTCTGATGCTGGCCCCTGATGATGGACAGTTCTGCCCTTACTGGTGCCTGGTGTCCCCAGTATCAGCCTGTACTGGTGCCCAGTGCCAGCCCACAATGGTGGCAGTTCCAGCCCATACTGGTGACCCATACGAGCCCATACTGGTGCCCAGTGCCACCCGTGTGTTAATGTCCAGTGCCGGCCCATGCTGGTGACCCGTGCTGGCCCGCACTGGTGCCCGGTTCCAGCCCATCCCGGTGCCCGGTTCCAGCCCATCCCGGTGCCCGGTTCCAGCCCATCCCGGTGTCCCCGTGTCCCCCTCCCCGCCCGGTGCTCGGCTCGGTGGCGCCGCCGCGTGGGGACCGAGGGCAGGGGAAGGTGTTAATAGACATTTATAGCCTTATAATTGATATTAATGAATAATAATTATAATAATCATTACTACTATTCTAATTATAATTATTGCATTAACAAATTGTTATAATTTGTATTAAATATGCATTTTATTCTTACACATTTATGCTTATTTTTTTATTTTATAGTTAATATATACATTATATATATAATACTTAAAAATATTTTAATTTCAATATATTATATACTATAATATATATTTATTATATATATCAAAAAATATATATTAGTATATTTATATTATTGTATCAAATTTCATATATCAATATAATTGCATTACGTAATATTTTAGCATTTTATATTACATAATTTTATAGTATAGAAATTTTATCTGTATATTTACACATCTTCCGTACTTCATATTTATCATGCGTTTAATTTATATTTAATAGCTGTTTATAATTTTTATCCTTATTTTATATTTTATATTTTATATTTTATATTTTATATTTTATATTTTATATTTTATATTTTATTTTTTATTTTTTATATTTTTTATATTTTATATTTTATATATTTTTATATTTTATATTTTATATTTATTTATTACGTACATTTTATTTCTATATTTTTATTTGTGTGTGTATATACACACTCCCCATACACAGAGTACAAGGAGAGCTCTGTCCCTCTGACCAGGCCACACACAGGGCGTTGGCAACCCTTTGTTCCAACCAGTTTAAAAGAAATCAAATGAAATCAAAATCCATATATAATTTATAAACTAAAAGTGGGAAGGTCTGCTGGAGGAAGCCTGGCAGCAGCTCCTGGATGAGCTCAGGGAAGCAAAGAAGGAGGAAAAAAAAACCCTGGGAGCTTGGAGGGAACTCCCAACTCTGCTTTCCCTGCTTGGGCTGATTTTCCCCCTTTTCCTGCCCCTTTCCAGCCCTGTTTATGGGATGTGTTGTGGATGCTGCACTCCGGCTCCGTTTACCTGGCACATTTATCTGGAAATGTCAGCCGGATCTTGGAGCACCTCTTAACCTTCAGTTCCCAGGGAACGCGGCAGCGATTCCCCGCCAGGGCTGGGGCTGCAGAGGAGCAGGAGGGGGGAGATGCTCTCAATGCTCACAGAGGAGAGGGAGACAAATCGATTTTTCCTACTAAATTTAGCCTCAAATATCAAGTTTAAAAATAAACTTCCTGGCAACTTGTTGGTTTGAGGGTTTGTGCTGAAGGTTTGTGCTGGCAACTCACTCCCTGCTCCTTTGTTCCAACATTGCTGGGACATGGAAGGAACTTCCAGAAGATGCTCAGGAGAGGAAAATCTTATTAAATACCCAAAAAATCGAGGGAGACTCCACCTGGAGGGCACTTTGCCTGTGTAAGACCCCCACCAGAGTGGAGATTCCCTAAATAACACCCAAACCTTTTTAATCTCTGGGATTGTAGACGGGGAGGATTTTTGGCAAAATCACTTCATCTGCTCAACACCATAGAGCCCTGACTTGAGCTGATTCTTGATGCAATGAATATTGATATCGTATAGGGAGAAAAAATGTGAGAAAAATTTGCTTTGCACATCCTTTATTAAAGACTCATCTGGGCCCCTTCCCTCTCCATTTGTCCCCAGAATTGTGAGGGGTTTGAGGGCAGTGAAAGTTGACAGGATTTCAGAGCAGCTTTTTGGTGCAATTTCACTTCACTGTTGGTACATCTCTCAAGCTTGCAACCACCCCAGCAGAATCAACAACCTGTACCCAATTGCTTTGAAATTAACTTAAACTAAGCAGATAAAACACTCCAGTAATTTTATCGTAATTTGGCTCTGGCTGAACATTGAAGAGCATCCGAAAGGCGGCTCTTGCTGGAGGGAGTCCAACGTGTGCTCCTGCAGCAGCTGAGCACAATGTGCCCCTTTCCTTGGCTCCTCCACTCTCTGGACCCTCCAGGACCTCACGTGGAGCAGGATTTTTTTCAGCTCTGAATTTTTGCAGCATCCCCAGTGTTGCTCCTCTCCAAACATCACAGAGCTGCTGGAGTTTGCAGAGAACATCTGGGTGTTGCCTACCTTGGGTCAAAATATTTGGAAGAAAAACCTATTTGGCCCCAAAGGAGAAGCTTTAAAGTGTTGGATTTTACTCAAAGCCCTCAGCTTAGCTGTGGCTGCAGGTGATTCCTCGGTGGAGGCAGCAGCTGCTCACACCAGGTCCCTGCTGGATCTTTTTCCACCAGATCCTTGCTCCAGGTCCAACTGGCTGCAGACAGGATGAGAAAGTCTCCTGAAAGCTCCTTGCAGAAGAGATTGCTCCTGTTGGAGGGATGGATGAAGAAAGAAGATGCCAAAGAAGCTTCGAGTCAAAGGAGAAGAGGATCCTGAAGCTCTGATGGATGGAGTGGCTGCTGTTGGAATTTCCGGATGCTGGAGAGGGATGCAGTGGTGCCTGTGGGCAAACAGCTCTTCCTGCCTAAGCTCAGCCAGGCTTAGCTGCCTGGTTTAGCCCAAATTCCAGGAAAACCATGTGGGAACCAAATGTCCATAGTTTTTGGGGAACAATGGGAACAGTAGGAAAGAGGGATTTTGACACTCATGTTTGCAGTGAGCACAGGAGATGGGGTTGGAGTTTTGTCCTGAGAAATGGAAGCAAAGATTAAATGAGATGTACAATCCTGGGACAGGGGAGGAAACCCTGTCAGGTCCCATCTTCTGGAAGGTGACCACAAGTGTTACAAATTCCCTTTAAAATTTTGGCAGGACTCAAACCCCCTCTTCAACTCCTATTTTTAACCATTATTTCAGCACCCATCTGAGATTCTTTCTGTTTTTCCCAAACCTTCCATCTTATTGGAGCAGCAGCCAGATTCTGCCTGATACATTCCCATCCCAGAAACCCATGGAGACCCTTCCCCAAATTCCCTCTGGGACAACCCAAGCCCCACACACTCACACTGCATAAAACCAGCAGAAGGGGCAAAGGGACCAGATCTCTTTTTTTATTTTTCCTGTGGACAAAATAATAATAATAAAGAAAATTCTAATTGGTACCCGTAGCACAGAAGCAGCAGCCTTTATAATCAGTCTTGTGGTTTAATGAGATACAGCAGCAATTCCCAGTTCCCTCCCCAGTGATCCCCAGTGAACAGCTCTGTTTGGTTTCCACGGGAGCAGCCGAGGCCCCGGAGACATCTGACATGGAAAGCTTAAAGAAAACTCACCAGTGTCTTTTATAGAATGTTCACTTTGGGCTGTAACAAACTGGGCTTGTGGCTGAACAGCTGCAAAGCTTCTGCTCCGAACACAGGACACAGATTCCCTGTGGAAGGATTCACACCACATTCCTGTTTATCCTTCCCAGGATCTTCCTAATGTCCACCTCGAGATTCTGAAGTGATGTGGGGATGGGGAGGATGCTGCTGAGGAGGGCAAGGAGCTCAGGAAACAACTGAGCTTCACTCATTCCTCAAGGAGCAGTGCAGGCACCCAAGATCCAGCAGGGAGCAGAGCCTTGTGCTGGAGTCAGGGGTGGGGAAAGCACTGACCCATGGATGGACAGAAATGCAAGAGGAGTAGCAGTGGGAGCCCCAAAGGTTGGTGACCACCCACAAAAGGATCCTGGGAGAGCCCAGGGCGAAGGAACAGTCCTGGCCTTTTGGTTCAAATCAATTCTGCACCAGGCAGAAAAAAAGCACAGGAGGTTTTTCCACATTTCCAGGAGAGCAGGGCACAGCTCCAACCACACAAAGCACCACAGGGCTCTTCCCTTCCTCTCTCTGGTGACAGTGCCACAGCCAGACCCCCACCCTGGGCACCTACACCAACCTTTGCTCCCAACATCCCACCTGGGAATGAGGCAGGACAGTGCTTCTCTTTAGGGGTGAGCAGGGAAGGATGGAGAGCCCATCACAACAGGGCCGCTGCAGAGGTGAAAAGGGTTGGTTCAAAGAAAAATCTCACTCCCAGACCAAAAGGAAAGGTTTCAGTATATTTTAATAGTAAAATGATTCTTATTTTTTCAAGCAATGTCCCACCTGGATGAGTCTCAGCAGGATTTTTGCTTCCCGGTCCTGCTGTACCGGGGCAAAACCTCGGAGGTCGTGGCTGTACCTGTGCAGAACAGTCCCCAAAAACTCACAGCGTGCTGCCAACACCACCAAACACCTCCCAGGCAACCACCACCACAGCACAGGACTCTGCTCAGGCTCTCAGGAGAAGAGCAGGAGTTAAAAATTAGCTTTTAGTAACAGTCTGGGTTAAGATTTGGAGCAGGCTAAGGAACAGAGGAGAGGCCAAGGTTTTATTTAGTAAAAAGGAACAGACTCAGGTAGCAGAACACCTTACAGTGACTGACTGGGCAGGGAGGGGTGAGGTCAGAGCACAGCCCTCGCTGGGGTTGGGTTTGGGATGGGGAAGACGATGGGGTGACTGTAGGGGAAGCAGCTTCAGACTCGAACTCTGGCTCCAACAGAATGGATTCAGAAAAATATTGCATGAAAAGCCTCAGGATTTTCTTTCTTTCATAGATGTATATTTACCAGTTTTCACAAAGACTGCAGGAATACGATTATAAACAATAAATTAGGACTTCATGTTGCTATCATTTGGCATAACACAATCAGGCAATTTTTCCTTTTTTTAAATATAAGGCAACACAAGCCAACACATAATTTAATCTGTCTTTAGTCAAATTGCTTAACTTTGCTCAGGAGTTACCACTAAAGAACGGGTTATAGTACACTTAAAAGAATTTAAATAATGACATGATATAAGTGTACTAACTTACGCAAGGAGTCAGAAACGTACTCTGCTAAGCTTTGAAACCTAAATATTTGTTACAGCCCAGGACTACACATTCTAAATTAAAAAAATACAAATAAATGTTTTCTAATTTTCCCATTTACGAAAAACTTTTAAGAATCTCTAGCCAACTATGACGTCACTTCAAAACTTTTTTTTTTTCATTTTTTTTGTTTTTTTTAAATTTTGTATGATGTCTTTAAGATTTTTTTAAACCATGCTCGTTAAGGAAAGTTCAAGGAGCAAATACTTAAGGCTTTGTTTTTCCAAGGGCTGTGAGGGAGGCCAGTGGATGGCAGAGGCCAGTGGGTTCACCCATACACAATGCTACTCAAACCCACACTACCAGGCGACATTCATACAGAAATATTACACTTAAAAGTTACAGTGTAGAGCAATATTTTTTAGCCAGTGTACATAGAAAGAATCAATGCATTTATTTTTTTAAATTTTTCTTCTTTTTTTTTTTTTTTTTAATTTCCAAACTTGATTGTGATCATTATGTTCAAGTATTAGTCTCGTTAACAGAGATGAGGAATTTTCTACTTACAATAAATTCGGCTGTTAGAAAGGAAAGGGATGTTTTGGTACACTGAGGAGAACAAGATGCTGAGGTTACCCAGTAGTTAGTGTCCTACAGTCACTGACTCAACTGGCTGCTGGAAGTGACGTGGGGAAGGAACAGAAGGAGTTAGGCACCGAGACCCTGGGAAAAAGGGATGTTATAAATAGCTTCACTAATTCCCAGGGAGAAGAATTGTTCCATTAAATCCGCTGGGGTGTTTTGATGGAGAGGAACAGGGGACTGTCAATCCCACAGTGGCTTGTGAGAGGAGCTTTGATTCAGACCAAGCAGCTCCCATCCCACAGTGGGACTGCGCTCACTGCACTGGGGATGGGCTGAACTGCATCTCCTCACCCTGACAGTTATTTCAGCTTCCAGAGAAGTGGCTGAACCCTTTTTGGAGTCGTGAGTGGGTCTGGATTCCCTTCACATGAGGCTGGCCAGACTCCTAGCAGCGAGGGATTCAGACAACGTGAGCTTTGAGGCTGATGGAAGGGCAGTGGGGAGAGGGAACACGAAGAAAGGCAGCTCCCTGTGGCTGCCTTCATCCCAAACCCGCTGTTCCCCTCCTCCATACCCTGTCCAGAAAACAGAAAGTATCAGAAAAATCTGCCAGAGACTTTTGACTTTGGACAAAGTCTAAATGATAAACGTGGGCAAGAAACAGCTGAAAAGCTTTTCCCTCTATTAAAGCCTAAATACATACCCCTAGCTGGCTCTTTCCAAACGTAGGCTCTTTTTCAATTACACAGGCCTCTAGACAGTGCAAATGGTCAATGTTTAATGCATTAATGAAATGGGCTTTCGAGTTGAAAATAAGCCCTACTCCCTGACAAAATTCTGTTGCTCTTAATCTTGTGAGGAAATTGAGATGGAAATGGAAGCAGCTACGCTACCTCGCTCTCGCCGGGGCTGGAGAACAGATGCGGCTGCTAAACCCTGCAGCAACTCAACCTCAGTCCAGCGAGGAGCTGCTCAGCAGAAGGCCAAAAAAAAAAAAAAGGCTGCACAAAGGGGGACTCTGCGGTGAGGAAACAGCTGTGGAGTGAAGTAGTGTAATGAAATTCTTTGACACAAAAGGCATGTTGAATATTTGATGCATAAAGGAGAGAGATAACATGTAAGCAAAGCTCTTTAAATATACAGTATGTCTTCTTCCAAGGGGTACTATAATGATCACACAAGTTTGCAAGTTAAAAACGCCTTGCTTATTAATTAAAATTAAGACTAAAACCTATAATTTTTTTTTTTTTTGTCTGTGAAAGTGACTGCAGCCTATCTATACCCTGGGTGTTGAATATGAAGATTTCGACTATCGGTTGGTTCAGGTGCTCGGTTCATGGGAGGCCGATGGACTTTTCCCAGCACGGCCATGCTCTGGTCTCGGAAGCAGGACTGCTGGAAGTCCCCACTTAGGTAATCCATGGTCTGCATCACATTATTCTGGCTGGATGGGCCAGCTCCAGCTCTGTAATGAGTTCCTCCTGCACAATCCAGCGGAGCTCCCGCTGGCTGTCCCCCGTGGAAAGGCATGGCGAGGTCCTGGGACCCAGAGCTGTCACTGTTGGGTGTGGGCAGAATGTTATTCCAGAGGGGCTGGAAATAGTGCCCATTGGTATATGGCAAAGGTCCCTGCAACCCGTTCACAGGCGGAGAAGGCGTAGGCTTCTCGATGGGGGGCTTCAAGCTGAAGGACTGGCCCATGCACAGTTCTTGAGGATAGTTGGAGGTTTTGCCAGGGAAACTCTGCCCTGCAATCTCTCTCTGAGGGTGCTTCCCTGCGAGTCCAGCAGGCCCAGCAGCATCCCCACACATTTGCTGCAGATGTGCAAGCTGGTGCTGGTTCCACGCAACCGATTTGATTTCGTTCTGGTAGGCGGGTGGCACCCTGTTAATATTGACCATGGGCACATTAACAGAGGCAGGAGGAATAGCAGCAGCAGCATGGTCGACAGGGTTTACTACACAGGAAGGCATGGGTGTAGGGACATTGTGAGTAGATACCCTGGTACTTGCATTGATAAGCAGGTTGCGACTTATAGGGCTGGGGTTTGCAATCTGTCCCTCACACACTGAGGTAGTGCTAATGCCAGCTCTGGCCTGGCAGAACTGGTTAATCTGGTGCACAATGCTGCTCAGGTCCGGTGGCTGGTTCTGCTGCAGGGTGGCAGCCATAGAGAGGGGAATGGTTGAGGTAGACACGGTCACATTCGGCGGCGCGTCTGCATCCGGCATCTTTCTGCCTCCATGTAAACCCGGCTGCAGCAGCGGATTCGGGGCGTGCTGCAGGGTCTGGTGTGCCATGGTCTGAGGGTGCTGCAAGCCCTGCGGCTGCTGCATGTTCTGCGGGTGCGGCAGCGCCTGCGGGATCCCCTGAGGGTGCGGTAAGCTGGGTGGCTGTGGAATACCCTGAGGGTGCTGCGGGATGCTCTGGGGGTGCGGCAAAGTCTGTGCATGCTGGAGAGCCTGCTGGCGAGCGAGCGCCTGCGGGTGGGATAAAGTGCTTGGTGCAACGTACGGCGTGGAGGGGGGGTTCATCATCGCCTCCGGCAGCAGGCGCGCCCGCGTCCCGTCAAAGTCCTTGATGATTCCTTTCGCTGGGGATTTCACTATGGCCAGCAGGCCCGTTTTCGTGGTGGCCTGAGATGGGTAGGGGCTGTACCTCTGGCCCGAAGTATCGAGTCCGTTCACAGTACGGCGTATGTGTTTCCTCTGGGGAACCTTGACGCTGTTTGGAAAGATTTTTATAGTCAGTGGATTGTTGGCGACCTTCTTAGCATAAGCATCCAATTCTGCTGGGGTAGGATACTGTGCAGATCTCATTTTCTGTGTAGTGTCCCCTGTGGAGAAAGGAAATTTGTCAGTTCTGGTAAGCAAGGGATCAACCCCAGGGCAAGACAGTCACACAACAAGGGTAGAAAATCTCCAAGGATTCAAGAGGCAAGAAAACTTCATCCTGCCAGACCAGCGGGTCATGAAGCAGATATCTCATTCCCTTTATTACCTGGTGACCAACACAAACCCCAGTTCAGCTTAAGGCAAGAACTGCCCAGGGGAGCAAAACAAAACCATGTTCTCATCAGAGTATGTTTGCAGTTGGACAAAAACAGGTAACGTGTTATAAACATCAAATTGTCTCCAGCTGAAATATTCCTCACGGCTTGCAGTGAGGTTTTTATTCTCTTAATTTAAGCTGCCTCCCCATAGCTCTTCAAACCATTCTTGGTATTTTTACCATGGAATACAAATTCAGAAAGATATGAATTAAACATGAAGCCCCTGTAATCCTGAGATGGGAACCATACTGTGGTGGTCTGACCCTGGCTGGGCACCAGGTGCCCCCAAAGCTGCTCTGTCACTCCCTTCCTCAGCAGGGCAGGGAAGAAAAAACACAGGGTCAGAAAAAGGAAGGGGAGATATCACTCACCAACTACTGTCATGGGCAAAACAGACTCGGGGAAATTAGTTTAATTTATTACCAATCCAATCAGAGTAGGGTAATGAGAAATAAAACCAAATCTTAAAAGCCCTTCCTTCCACCCCTCCCTTCTTCCCAGGCTCAACTTCACTCCTGACTTTCTCCACCTCCATAGCACAGGGAGATGGACACAGCTGCCTCACCGTGGGCTGCATGGGAATCTTTGCTCCAGTGCCTGGAGCACTTCTCCCCCTCCTTCTGCAGTGCCCTGGGGGTCTGTACAGAGCTCTTCCTCTCACATATTCTCACTCCTCTCTCCAGCTGCAGCTGTGCAGGTTTTTCCCCCTTCTTAAATCCGTTGTTCCAGCAGAGTGTCTGCCCTGGAGCCAGCTGGCATTGGCTCCATCAGGAATGGGGGAAGTTTTAAAGCAGCTCCTGCATCCCCCCACTACCAAACCCTTGCCCTGCAAACCCAATCCACATCAAAGCTTCAGCTTAAGCCTCCATTTACACCCCACTCCTTTCCTAGGTGCTGACATCTGAAAGCACTTGGAAGTGTCTCTCTGTGCATTAGGAAGCTCTTGTCGGCCCAAGCTCAGCAAATGGAAGGAGGCTGATTATTTTATGGCCTGCAATTATTTCTTCAGATGACTTTTCAGGGTGGCACCTTGCTCAGGACGACAACCCCACATCACACGGCAAAATGATGTGATTACCTCGCAGGATTAAAAACATGCTGCTCCCCAGACAGAGACAAAAGGCTTCTGGAGACAGAGGTGTGGTTTCACTTCCTCTGATTTACCAGATACCTACCTGGCTCACAAGTCCCAACTGCTTCTGCAAAGAACTTCAGAAATCTAGGGAAATGTGTGTGTGTCTCTTGCCGTAATTATATTCCAAGCAGAGAGTTGGGCTGTTTCCCACCACAACTCTGCTGCCTAACTCCCATGGGACTCCTGCTGATTTTATAATCTTCAAATAATGACTTGCAGCTTTGACAATCCAATTTAGCTTTTGCTTGATTTTTCCTCCCCTCTCACCTTGCAAACAGTTCACTGGAAAAATATGCCCACCCTTTTTTCCTAAAATTTTCAGCATCCCTGTGCTATTTGCTGTGTTGAGAACAGGGAATGTGGCAGCCATACAAGAACACCCCAGCCCCATATGTGGCCCTCTGACCCAAGGAAATTTAATGCTCCAGCAAAGAGTTTGCTGCTCCCAGGCAAACAGCCCTTCCTCTTGAAAATCCACGCCTGACTCTTTCAAGCAAATTGCCTCCAAAAGATGAGTACCAGGCACTTCTCTCTTTGCATCCTGCAGCTCCCCGTTGTCACAGGTGAGGGAAAGCAGCTCTGCTTTAAGAGCTCTCGCTTTCAGAAAAGAAAGGTCAGAAAATGGAAAATAGAATGGATACCAAAAGAAAGGTTAATTATAGAAGTATTAAAAATATCTTTTGTGAAATAAGAAGCTTTATGAGCAGTTTGTGTTCCATCTCCAGCACAGCTCGTACCACGGCGCCAGTTATACCTGTACTCCCTGTGCTGTCCACACACTGGCACAGATCATCCCTTTCTCTTCATCAAAGGAAACAGTAACCCAAACATCCTCTCTGTGTACATCCCTGTACCTGTCTCTGCAGGCAGGTGGTTCATATCTGCCCTTTTGAGCGAGCTGCTGTGCTCCTAACAGAGAGGAGAGCCTCCGAATGGCATTTGCCAGTATTACCTTGCTTCAAAAGCCAAGGCCTTCATGAACTCTCAACCTTTATTTTTAGCATTGCCCATGCTCATTAAGATCTGTTTCTTCCCCAAGACATGACCCTGGCAACTCTGCATGAACCAGAGAACCAAAGGACAAAGAATCCCATACCTGTGTGTGTTATGTTTTATGTTATGCTTGCAGACACTGTCATATCTATTTTCAGATGAAAAATTAAGGAGATGCTTCAAGACAACTCTGCCATCAAAATTTCTCAGCGTGGTTTACATTGCTATAACCAAATCAGCAAATTAAATATAAACACTACACAGACACACTGAATATTCTCTTATCCAATAATCTGTTTTTCTGTTACACATTAGCTTCAGGAAGCAGCTAAAACATGGGTGTTTGAACAGGCTGCAGCCATCAGTGAGACACACCTCTACTCCCAAACATGGAAGAACTCCTTCCTCTGAAAAATAACCTCTCAGTTAAACGAAACCCCAGCATCAAGTCTGGCACCCTACCAAAGGCAAACCATCTTTTAAATCCCTTGGATGGGATCTTCTGAACCCAACCACCCTACCAAACAGCACTGGTTTATGTACAGGTAAAATGATGCTCCTTTTACTCCAGGCTAACTCAGCCATGTTACTCAGGCCTGAAGGTGATGCATTTCTGAATGCCCCAATGTGCTTTGCTAGTAGTTCCACAGGCAAGATTCCATGACTGTAATAATTAAGGCAGTAAAATATTACGAGAAAGGCATTACACGGTGAACAAAAATCTGAATATCCCATACAAATACCCTACAAATCAATAAAGAACAAACAGTTCGGGTAACTAAGTGAATGGAAAACCTGCTAGAATGGTCTGGTATTTGAATATCATCATTTGTGTGCAAGAGCAAGAATTCCAGATCAGGCCATAATAAAATGATGAGGCAACAGCAGAGGAAGAAGCTTCATTAGGAAAGCAATGGGATGAGCTCCAGGAAGCTCCCTAATGGTGAATGCAAGGCAGAATACCTTTATTGAAAAGTAATTATTTCTTGTTTATTATAAGGCAAAGCTGTGCATATGAGCAATTACCCCAATAAACTGATGAGCTGCAAGTTCACAACTCCTGCTAATCCTGTGGCAACCGATTCCTCTGGTCACACTCCTGGTCTCACCACTGGAGCTATTTTTGTCATGGAATGAGACAGATTTCCCTGCCTCACCTCAGCACTAATGGAACATCTTTTAAGTGCATTTCACATTAAGACTTTAAAACCCACTGCTTTTAAAAGCCGCCTATGGTTAAATTTTCATTATCATTAAACAAAATACAAACAGGCCTTCAGGATTGCTACCCTAACGAGAGCTCCTGCACTGGGACAAGCCAGAACCAGCTGTGCCCACCTTCTGCATAAAACCCTCAATTTCAGCAGTTTCTCTAAAGGGTTTACAAAAAGAACCCTCCCAAAAAGACTCAGTTTAGGTGATGATCCCATATTCAGTCCAATTTCCTTTTCTCTGATGTCCATTTCCACTAAAATACTTCTTAAGGAGCACCTTTCACTTGATTTTGCATCACTGTCACAGAAAAATGACCTTTTTTTCTGCCCAGAAGGTTTGGCACTGCTGCTATGTCCAATACCAGCTGCAGACACAGTCTGAACAATCTTGCCTCAAATATCCCAATTGATTAGTCCAAGTTTATACTGGAGTCACTGGGAGGAAGGTGAGAATATCAATACTGGGCCAGTGAGAAATCCTCTGTGTGGAAAAGGATGAATTCCAGGGTTAGCCTGAACTCAAGCTGGAATTCAACAAAAAATACTGAAATTTGAAGTCCTTTAGTCATCAATTTTTGAAGGAATAAATATGTGCATGTTAATCTACCAAACTCCTACTGCACAAACCACTTGAAAGAACAAGCCCCTTATTAGAGAATGAATATGGAAAAAAAAAAAGGTAATTGAGCTGATATGGATTTTTAAGCACTAATAAAAAGTCTGATCCAGAAAACTACACTTAAAAATTATTAATACAAACACTGTAAGTCTGAAGAAAGGCAATCCTGTGGAGTTCTGTAGCTCTTATAAAAGCAACAGCACTATTATTACAGCCTGCTTCCACCCCCCATCAAAAGTCACAAGTCATCGTTCATTAAAAAATGCTCATTAACTCAGCTCTGCCCTGGCCAGGGGCTGGGCTGCTCATGCATCTCCAGCAGAAGAGAAATGCACCAATTAATCGTGCCCACATCTGCAGCAGGGCTGAGCGAGGTCTGTACCAGCAGCCTCATCTTCCATATAAATCAGAACAAACCCAACAGCTGAGCATTACCACTGCCAGCCCGTGCCTGCCAGCTACTTTATGTCCTAAATTCTTTGAAATGCAGTTCCCAAAGCTCTTCACTGAGCAGGACACAGCAATGCTTTCAGCACGTGGATCTGCAGATCTCTGAGAAACAGCATCAGGTACCATCAGGTGAGGAAAACTGCTCAACATACCAGCATGTTGCCTTGTAAAGCTGTAATTAGCAAATACCTGATTTATGCACAGCTGCCCTCACATGAACCTCAACATTTTGGTTTCAGAACTAAGCTCTGACAAAGAAATCTCACGCAATGCACAGACCTGGGTACATCCTCACCCCACAGGCTGTCAGCAGTGCTCACACTGGAAAGAGGAAAGACAAAGGAGGGGATGCCCGGTCTGATGCCATCACCAGTCCTTTGGTGAGTGAAGATTTTTATTGTCGCTGAGTGTCATTACAATTGCCAAGCCCATGGAGTCAGCAGAAGTGCTGTGGTGGGAGCTCAGGTGTGTATGTGAACCATGTCAGTCACTTCTGGCAGGCCCACTATCATGAGCAGGTCACCCTTAAGTGCAAAATTATCTTCTCTATTTATTTTCTGTAGCATCACAAGCCTCACTATATGAACAATTTAGCTACAAGTGGACTGTAAATCACTTGGGTTTAAAAGCAAACTGAGATCTCCCAATGCACATTTCAAATACAAGAGACAGGTCACAGCCCTAAGAACCAAGTACACAGATCTTACATAGAAACCTTGGCATTTCTGAAATTTCAGCTAAACAATCAATGTGCTACTTCAGTGATAAAGAGGAGAGACAGAGTAAGAGTTAAAAAACCTCTAGTCAGTAAATTTACATTCCCAAGCACAAGTTGTTCTTAAAATACCAGTACAACTATGAAAAAAATGACTGAAGTTATCAAAAAAGAATTATCAGAGCACTCTGCAGACATATTTTCAGAGGCACCAAAGAGACATCAGAAAGAAGACGGAAACTTTGAACTTTAGTAATTTGGGCTAGCTCACTAATATTTGCAGTATAAGCCCCAGGTATGTAGAGCAAGAGCTGCTGACCTCAAAAGGTTTGCATTAAACTGATCCAACTTTTATTGGTGTCTACGAGTAATTGCACGAAGGGAAACGAAAAAGACTGAGGAAAAAGTTGTGCTGAGAAGCAAATCAGCTGGCACACTTTTAGCACAAAACCTTTTCAGCAGAGAGGCACAAATCTCACAGGAACCTCACTTGCTGCATCCTGCTGTGGTTAAAATTAACCTTTGCAGAGCCAGGAACAGAGGAGCTGCACACATGTGAACCTCTACAGCCGTTTCTCAGAGCCTTTATTGACAGATGCCTTGAAGGCGTAACAAAAGAAAGATTCTACATTAAATAGATTTTTCCACTGTATCCTAAATGTTTATGTCCCAGCGGTACCAGAGCCAGATTTAACAGTTAACCACATCCTGCAGACAAAACATCACTCACATTTCTGAAGTCCAGTGTTCATCTGCGTGTAAGAAAGAAGCTGAAAGGAGAGGTCGCCTGGTCCTGGCAGACAGGCCAGCATGGCAGACAGGCACTAACACAACATGGGGCATTCACTCCTCTGCACACTGCAACAACAGAGAGACAATTCAAAGTTATAATACAAGGAGGAACAGAGAAAAGAAAGAGGCAAAGAGCCATCCCTGGGTGAAGGCCTGACCAAGCACAGATGCACAACCACTGCTCCAGTCCTGACTGCATCTCGTAATGGCAACGGAAATACTTCAGGAACTGGGTCATCTGCAGGGTTAAAACCAAAATAGCTGCCTCACTCTCTGCTGCTTGACACGCAGATAATAATCCATTGCTCTGTCCTCACATTTCAAAGGTGGTTGTTATGAATGGTAAAGAAACCACCATCACTCATTTCACTATGCTGAAATGCACTGGTATCCACCAAGGCGACTTCTCTGGAGAAACCCTGTCAACTGCTCTTTTGCATTTAACAAAAAGGCATGGCATGCATAAATTGAAGGCAAAGTATGCAGCACTCTGCCTCGTGGCAAGATTAAGCTGCATGCTACAGCTTGTAATTTCTGTGGTCCATTAGGCTGAAAGATGAATGGCTACACTTCCTTCATTTCAGCAGAGACTCGCTAACCCGAGCTGCTGTGGGGCAGACAACAGCAAGATGTGCACAAAGGGGCTGCAGAGGTGCCACCATCCTCTTCTGTTTGGTCCAGCATTTAAGAAATCAAACCTTGAAATAGAGCACTAAAGCTCTTTGTACAGAAACATGGCACAACTCCTCTCAAATCCCACCACTGCTGTGCAAAGAGGAATCCCAGCAACAAAGCTAGCTGGGGCTCAAAGTGTCCAATGTTACTAGAATTATAGAGATTTAAGTCGGAACAAGATCCCTAGAGGCCATGTGGTCCAAGCCCCTGCTCAAATCCTGACTGCAGCACTTCAGAAATTTCTGGGAAATAGGGTGCCAGAACCAAGCCGGAGAAATCAGTAGTTTTTTTCTCCTTGTCCAGATGTCCACAAGCATCAGTGCTGCTATACAGAGCAAAACACCTATGGAACAGCTAGAAAGGCTTTGGGGCTTGTTATATGACCTCGAAAACATGGGAAGAGTTGAAGGATTCAATGCTTGTAAGCTGATTTAGTCTCAGTCATTGTTTCACAAACCCCAATTAAAACAACTGGGGAGGCATTCGAAGATCAAAGGAGGGGGAAGGAGAAAGCTCGAGCCCAGACATGAGAAGCCACATCCGCCAAAACGTCTCAGAAGCCACTTCTGCAAGAGTCTCACTGCTGAGACGGCACAAACAATGTGATGACAGCGATGTGGCACTGTCAGCACTGCCACCTTCATGCTCCAGAAACCTCCAACAGCACATTTCTGCAGAGACCTTTTAAAGACTCGAATGCAAAACCTCACCTCAGACCACCAGCACAGGTCAGGCTGCCCATGGAACGCTGGCACCAACGGAGTGAACAGCGTGGACTCCAAGAATTCCTGCAGCACAGCAATTACTCACTGTGTACAGTTCATTAGCTCCATGTTTATGCATCTCCTCAGCTCAACACGCAAAGGTTAATTAAACCAACGGCCAAGAAATCTCATACAAATATTAATTTATGAGAGCTTCCACATCTTCACTGAGTGAGTGCTGTCCAAAGCTGAGTGTGGCTGACTGAGCCTGCTGGGTGCCACTGTGACTAACAAAAATAGTTTTGGGCACTGAATGCCAGTCTGACAATGCAGGCTGTTGCCCATTCACCCTTCCCAGGCAGAGTAACACAGACCTGGTGCCGTGAGAAACACACACACAACCTCACCAAGGTGCAGGGCTGATAGCACAGCCACCAACAGAGCACGTCTGGATCATTCTACATTTCATTCCTAGGAGACAGCAACAATCTGCACTGCCCAAAGTCCAAGATATGTAAAACCTTGTAAAATAAACCTAAACCTGGATTTTCTTCTGATTCTCTGAAGGAGATGGAATTCTTGGGAGTCTTTCAGAAATGATGACTGAAGACCTGTCACATCCATAATATCAAGGAATTGCTTGAGGAACTGAAAAGTTGTTCAACCTTTATAGATGAGATTCAGTCGTGACTGTGGATACACAACATTCAGTGAAACTTTGCAAACAGCTCGTGGGCAGCAGTTCCTCGTCCCAAATCATGCCCAGCAAGACTAAAAAGACAAAACAAGAATCCAGCTCCTTTTAATCAGAAGACAAAACCACTGTGAGTTGTCAGAGCTTTACCTGAGTAAGCAACAGAAACACTCACAGTCAGCAAGAAAAAAATAATAATTGTATTTTCCTTTTTTCCTCATTTCATCAACTTCAGAAGGTTGGCACAAACAAGACCTATTTCTCAGTGAAAAGCAGACAAACAAAATTAAGAGCCTTCACTGTAGACAGAAAAACAGATCACACTATTCCCACATTCATCTGAGCATCCACCTTTTACTCCAATAACGTCTGACGCCAACCAAGGATTCACTTCCCATCCCTGCAGGTCGAAGGAGGTCGGTGTCTAAAACATTATTTAATTGATGGCAAGTTTGTGTGCAGCCCTGAAAGAGCACAGCCATGCTCTGAGGGAGCAGCATTTCTGGCAGCAAGATGTGGGGAGGGTTTGCTCACCTGCTCCATCATTAACGCTCATTAGAGCCTGAACTGTGACGCTCTCAGAAAGCCTCTTGCTGAAGTGCCCCAGCGAGGTGCACACAGCAATAAACAGGATAATGGCACATTAGGAGAGAGAACAAGTGATTAGGAGTGGTCACAGCATTCACCTCGGAATAGCCAGGCTCCTGCTACATGACAGCAGTGCTTCCTTGAAGGTCAAAACATGTATTTACAGAAGCTTTAGCTCCAGTGTGGAGAGCAATGTTTTAGAGAGAGCTATAAAGGCAAGTTGTTCCCGCAGGCAGATAATCGTTTTAGGTAATGCCAAAGGTTCATAAAAGACTGAGGCTGCAATAATAATTTTAAAGGAAATACTGGACTTACAAAAATAATTTGAAGTGGAAACCTAATTTGAAATGGAAGCCTAAAATCGCTCTTTTAGCTTGATTTGCAGTAAACGAACTGATGACATCTAGGTCACTGCTGAGCATTAGAAAAAGAAATTCAGACTTGTATAGAAGTGCTGACCATAACTCCATTGCTGAATTTCTTATTATAATTAAAATCCTGCTTCAGTTTTTCTCCTCTATGAAATCAATACCAGTTTCCATAATCGAGGTCTCAGTATTTGAAAACAAACACATTTGAAATATCTTGACAAGCACCCCATTCGTTGTTTCTAGTTAGAAATTAATTAACATTTATTCCCTTTGAGATACGCAGCACCTGACTACTACTTTCTGACCTGACTCTTCCCCAGCATGAGCTGGCATGGACAAGTCCAAGCCACCACCAGCTAAAATGAACTGAAATCCCTGCCTGTATTTGGGATTGAGGTGAGCACTACTGCCTGTCTCAGGATTGGCAGCTGGGCCCATCAGCACCTCTTGCTTGGGTTTATTACTTCTACTTAGTCTAGAACAGGAGATGAACTGAACTTGGCACATCAGGACTTCTCACCAGCAGATCTGGCTCCATGGTGGTGACTTGTGTGGGCACCAGCACTTGCAAAGCTCCAGCCCCTCCAAGAATGAGTGGTGTGCTACTTGGGGAACTGGAATGGAGAGGGTTTTGCACTGTACCAGGGTCACTCAGACTGTCACCTAAACCAGCCAGCTGCAAACTGGAGAGTGATCTGACCAGTAGGCTGTGGCACTCAGCCATGGAGGGCTGTGAACCATGAAAATCTCAGTTTTTAAACTGCATTTTAAACAGATTCTGTACACTGCCAAACTCAGCACAACGAGCTCTGTCTTGAAAATATATATATAAAAAAAAGATAAAGCATATCTCTAGAGGAAAACAATCATTAGATTGGAATAAATAAATAAATACCCCTCTTTGAAGTGATTTTAATCTAATCTGGCTGCGGGATATAATCTTAACAGCACACATACTGCAGGATGCTCCACAAAATAGCAGGTTTAGACATGCGAACAGATTTTTTTTCTCCTAAGATTTATTAATAATTAAATCAAAGCATGTTAAGCTTAAGAGGGATTTGCAGTGCTTGGGATTTGGGGGTAATTGGCACATCTTCACAACGACTATTACATCCAGCCTTACTTGCATATCAGGATGCTTTTTGGTGCAGGCAGCACAGTCTCCCCTGTCACCACAAGGCTCATCAGGATGGAAGAACTCACATCCACCCACTGCCCAGGGACACCCCTGCAGAGCTAGGAATCAGTTCCAGCAGAACTTACCACAATATTGCCTTTCTTAACCTAAAAATGTAACATTTGCTGAATTATATTCAACCTTTAGTATTTATTGCCTCTGTGCTCCTCAGATCAAGGGTACTTCAACCGAGAGTAAAACCTAGATGTAAAGCAACTACTAGGAAATTTCTATCACAGTTTCATCATCACATAAATGGACCAGGTATTGCCAAGTTTTTAGATACACCAACCTCTGAAGTTCCTGAGAGGATTTACAGGGTGAGAACACAAAGGAAACAACTCCCCACAAACCACCCTGCCCACTGAAACATGGGAAACTGAGCCGGTTTAGAGGAAAGCAAGCCAGTGAAGTCTAAAGTTAGGTTCCTGAAAGTAAACAGGCATGTTTGAAATTCCACGATTAACTGCGGGCTTGTTCACAAACCCCGGGGCCAGGAGGAAGCGGGAGCATCCACCCACACACACACACAAAAAAAAAGCTCCACACTATTCCAAGTTTCCAGCACCCTGGGGTCCCGAAAGCCTCAGTGTGAGGGTTGTTAAAGGCTGGTGGCTGCTCTGCCTTGCTTCTCCCCTGCTCTTTAGTCACAAGGTAGTTCCATGAAGTTCCATATCCACTGTGAAGTTCCAGAGCCATGGGCGGGATTCACGGCAACCCCCCGAGCGCACGCAGCACATGCCAAGTTCAGAACACATCAATGCTGCAGGCAACAACAAAAACTAACTGGGGCTGTGAAGTTTCTTTGGTACAAATGTCTGCAAGAGCTTGCCAGGAAACGTAATTGAATCCTG